TTAGAATTTTCTTTTGTTTCAACTATCTATCGGGGCGATGACGGTGACGGTGATGGTGACAGTGGGTAGATTGGCAAATGATGTGTGTGTGGGTGGAGGGGAGCGTGATCATGTTCGACGTACCCAGAAGCTGACGTCGAGGTTTCCGCTGCCTCCAAACTCCCTGTCGCCGGTTTGGAAGGTGACGGTCATGCGGTCATCCTTGTGCAGGTCCTCGTGGAAACACTCTCTCGAGTGGGCCCGGAGGAGGATGTTATGTGAAGATGCGACCCCTATCCATCCCAGCAACGAGACCAGCACCGTGGCCGCAGAAAATCGCATGGTGTGTCCTCGTTCCGGGACCCGGCGTGTTGGAGCTACGTTCAATTGGGTTTTCGGGAGGACGAGGCAGAATCCGCCGGGAGATACGCTGCTGGGTCTTCTAGAAAATTAAAGACGCTGGAGAGCGTTGCAAGCATATGTGTTGGGTATAATTTGCTCGTCGAGGTCGTGAATAGCTGAAATCTGGCTGCTTTTATTTAGCCTTTGCCGTTCGTTGATTGGGCCTGAGGTGGAGATGCACAATTGGTCTCTTTGTCCCACCGTAGCCTGCTTGGCTTAACATGTTGACCAAACTCACACCAGCTCATCATGCACGACCCAGCAGCCCAAGTCCAACTATCTGTGGACAACTCATCACTTCTTGCTGCTTCACTTACCGTTCGACCTGTCAGCCAGAGGGGATTCCGTAATGGGTTCTTTTCTTACTGAGTAGTGGGATGGGCGGGCGGATTGTGGGATGTACGACGAGCTGGCTGCTGTTATATGGCTCCGATTGCTCAGATGGCCCTTATTCTGCCAGAAAGAGGCAGTCATGCAGAGATTCCTAACAGACAACAGTAGGTGGATGTGTGTGCCATTGGCATTGACAAACAATCATCCAGGCATTTCTAGGTTGCGCTTGCTTATGCTTTCTCCAACTTCTATTGACACTTACGCTTGCGATTCTCTAAAAAAACTGTTGTATATTCCTGTGACAGAATATAATTGGTGATTTGATATCACCTACGAAGAGATCCTCTCTTCTATATACCTATATTTCTTTTGCTCATTCTATGGTTCCCCAGCTATCTTTTACTTTTGTTTAGTGGAGTTCTAAACTAGGAAAAAAATAAATATTTCAAGGTTAATTTCTGGAAAGAAACTCACCCAGCCTGGCTGGCTCTGTGAGGAAGATCTCCGTTGTTGGGTGACTTCCTGTTTTCCTCTTCATTGTGAAAAAACTCATGGTACCTCTCCCACACACACTCGCACGTTTATACATAACTTATACCAAATGCTTCAACCCATCCTGCCTATCTGTAACTCATCAGTGGTTTTGAAAAGCGACGGGCTTGAGGAGTGAACGACAGACTAAATAAATAGAAACAACATGCCTGCATATACCGATGGCAGGGGAGGGCTGAAGTTGTCTTTTGCCGATGTCTTCAAGAGCACCAAGACGATCCGGGAGGTGATGGCTGCGGCAGCCTACAAGGTAGGAAAAATGGTTTAGACAGCAATGCCTGGGTGTTCAAATATCCTCCTTTTCTAACAGCCAGAACTCCAGAAAGCCGCAACAGCAGCCAGGAGCAAGAAAGCAACAGCGGACCTAGCTGCCCGCTCCACAACAATCAGGGGATACCCAGTCAATTTCCGCAATGGATCCCCTCCCAGCCTGCCCCCGGGTTACCCTCCGCTCGTCTACGTCCCCGTTCCGTCCAAAGATGCCAACCAGGCGAACGGAACCCAGTCTGCTCTACAATACCAACCCGTTCCCCAAACATCGGTTGATCAGGTGCAAACAAATCCGGCGAGCACTGGCGGCGGTTCCAGCGCGAATAATGCGAGCATCAGTCCAACTTTTCAACAGCAGCAGCCGCAACCGCAACCGCAGTCACAACAGCCACAACAGGGATGGACAACAGATGATGATGATACGCTGCGGAGATTAAAGGCGGAGGATATGAGCTGGAAAGCGATATCAACGTCCATGGGTAGGCCCGTTCAGTCGCTTAAGACTCGGTGGGGGATAATTCGGCCGGCGGTGGAACATAAGATCCCACGACCACATACCAGCGCACAGGGCGAGACTAGCTTAAGATCGCAGCAGCAGCAGCAGCAGACAGACACGAACAGGAGGCACGAGCGGCGAGTTTCATTCTCCGATCCGCTGATCATGGCCGGCAAGGTAGGTGATAAAACGTCATGTCACCTCATATTCCCCCTTCCTCCCCCTCTCTTCTGTGCTAATAAGAAAGAGCCTTCTTCCGTATTGAATATCCCATCTACTATATTTGAAACCAAAGCAACTTCTCCTTTCTTCATTGACGTTTGATTGATAGGTTGCCGACAACTACACGTCCACCTACACACGAACTCCCCACAAGAAGAAAATCCTCTACGTTGACGAGAATTTCAGCCTCGAGGAGATATTGCTCCTCAATAGGCTGGCGGCGCAGTATGATGAGGAGAAATGGCTGCGGATTAGTTCGCGGTTCTATGATAAGACGGGGAAGCGACTTACGCCGCAGGAGGCGAAGGAGTATGTGCAGCGGGGATAGTGTTTATATATATCCTCTTCCTCTTCGTCCTCTTTTTCTTCTTTTTAAAATATGTGAGTTGTTCGATTTTGGGTCTGAATCCGCTTGCTTGTTATTTTTTATCTTTTTTTTCATCTGCTTCTTTGTGTAATGCTACATACATACAGTACATACATTCATAGGGAGGGATTTCCTACAAACATACCATAACATGAAAGACCATGATCGTCTTTACTGTATTCCGTACTTAGGTTACTATTAACTGTCGGAGAGAAGGGGCAATAAAACCGACCTGGGTTAAGTATTGGGTGATAGAGTGAGGGATGGGTGGGGTGAGCAATGAATATCATGATTCTGAACAGTTCTGAATTCTTTCTCTTTCAAAACTGGGAACAGGGTCGAGGGATTCATTAAGTGGTGGTGTGCATTTGTTAGTTACTCAAGTTGATCAGAGTTGTTTTCCCCAAATCCTCAAGAGTTTCAGTTTATATTATGTATAAATTCATTCCAGCAGTGGTAAATGCGCTGTCCAACACCGATGGTCAGATCTCCAGTTCCTATACTCACCATAAAGCCGAAAATTTACCATCCCCTAACTTAAAATTTTTTGTCGCTCCACTTTGCACAACGCCACGCACGCTGCCGCTCTTCGTAGAAGCCTAGGGTTTTCGCGGAAAGAGGGCCAAGATGGTTTTTTCTGGGCCCCTGAAATTCTCCAGTGGTTGCCAGCCGCCAGCCGCTTGGGAGCAAACAAGCAACGCTTTAACCAGTTAAGTGAAACCCGAGCCAGAACCTAAGGTAAGGGGGGTTAGTTAACGTTATCATGAAGAATTGCCTCTCTAGACACATGTCTGTGACGATGGGGCAATCATAATTTTGACTGGACATCCGTACAACGTAATGAATCTTTTGAAGCAACCCACGGTCCAACGGGCGATGCGGCGTGTCTTGTTTGGTGGTTCCCCTGGCTGCTGGGCTGACCCTGATCGATCCGGGCGCCTGGAACCTGGGGGCAGGCCCCATGGACATCCACCGATTGCGGTCCGCGACCCATGGAAATTGTGTGGGGACAGACCACCAACTCCCGCATCGGTTGCCACTGCCAGTCCCCATAGTACATAGTAGTCTGCCGCTGCTCTTCTCACTCTCTTCCCTCTCCCAAAGCCCAACTCTCCTTTCTCACTGGCTTCGCAATTAACTTCCCACTCTCGTTTTCGTTGGTTTTGTCCTTTGGCCTATCCGTTCATTCAATAAGTTTTCAGTTCTTTTTTTCTTTTTTTTTTTTTTCCTTCCTGCGATTCCTTTTCATTCCCTTTCGTTCCCTTTTTTTTTTTTCCCCTTCCCTTCTTGGAAACATCATACGATCCTTTATTTAACAGTAAAAGGACACTACAAAACCAAGGAAATAGAGAAAGGAAATCCCACACCTTCATTAGAACTCCGTTCAAAATATCGTCCTTCGCTTCTATTTTCATACGGCATAAACAATGCGTCTCTCTAACCTCCTCCCACTCGCCCTAGCAGTGAGCCCGGTCGTGGTCTCCGCCGCTGGCACCTTCGGCTTTGCCATGGGCGTCAAGAACGCCGATGGAAGCTGCAAGACGCAGAAGGATTTCGAGGACGACTTCGACGTCCTCAAGGCCCATACGCGGCTAGTCCGGACGTATTCCGCGAGCGACTGCGATAACGCCCTGACTATCATTCCTGCTGCGAAGGCGAAGGGCTTCAAGGTTGTTCTTGGGATTTGGTATGTCTCACTGCCATCTTCTTATACATTATATATATTTATTTTCCATCTGTTTTTATCTGTTGGCCGGTCTTCCCCGTCTGGACAATTAAATAAGTAAATGTCATAATCATGGTAATAAAAATTAACATTTGTTTTATATAGGCCCGATGTGGAAACCTCCTTCAAAGCTGATACTGCGATTCTGAAGAAGGTAGTTAAGGGAAATGAAGACATTATCTCTGCTATCACTGTTGGCTCCGAGACGCTCTATCGCGGCAACTTCACTGGCCCAGAACTCCTGGCGAAAATCAATGATGTTAAGAAACAACTTCCCGGTGTACGCGTGGGCACTGCAGACAGCTGGAATAAATATGATGATGGCACCGCTGATGCCCTTATCCATGGCGGCGTGGATTACCTGTCTGTCCTCCTTCTTCTATTCTCCTCATATCCTCTTGGCCCTGTCCGACAACCTAGCCGGTCACACAATTGAAACGGACGAGCTAACTTGTGTCTGCTTTTCCCTTCCTCTTTTAGGCTCGTCAACGCTTTCGCCTTCTGGCAGGGCCAGGAAGTCGGTAATGCAACAGCCACCCTCTTCGACGACATGGCCCGCGCCATGGCCCACATCCAGAAGGTTGCCGGCTCCCGCGCAAAGGATATCTACATCGCCACCGGCGAAACGGGTTGGCCAACCGGTACGAGCTCCTTTGTTCCCCCTTTGAAACCCAACCCCAACACACCCCCCAACCCCCTCAAATGAAGATAGATTTTATCTATAATCCAGAAAGCCATTCGATGCACTAACCAAACTAAACAGACGGCGGCTCCCACTATGGCAACGCCCAAGCCGGCACGAGTAACCCGAAGACCTTCCACGACAAGGGCGTCTGCGCCCTACTCGCGTGGAACGTGGCCGTGTTCTTCTTCGAGGCGTTCGATGAGCCGTGGAAGCCGGATAGCGTGGGTGATAATGGCAAAGCCGCGAGCGAGAAGCATTGGGGCATGTACACGGCAGATCGGAAGGCGAAGTATCAGGTCCAGTGTTAGGGATGGATAGGAAAAGGGGCGAGAGGACACATGTAGCAGGTAGTTGTGGGTGGGGTCTTGTCCTCTCTTTTCAATTTTGCCGTGTTTGTATTTATTCCTGTTTTTCCCTTTGTTACTGACAGATGTTTTGTTGGGATATATGTATATGCTCCGTTCGGGGTATATGTGGATACCATAGATCGACAGATACCACCTACACCAGGCAATAATTTTTTTTCTTCTTTTTGCCATTTACCTCTGTCTATCTTGGCTATTATTACTGGTGTATGGTATTTTTTCCCCCGCAATTACTCATTTGCTCGTTCTCGCTTTAGGCTGTGTATGTCTCCAAGTGCTTGGAGATGTGTTGTGATACCCAAAGGCGTTCCTAGATACACGCCATATTTCCCCCCTGAGTAATGGAACTATCTTCTCTCTTTTTCTTTCTTTGTAAATTATCTATCCAGAGTAGACCAACAGCGAAGAGCGAGGTCAAAACAATTATTTTGCGGGCAGTCGCGTTGAGAAGACGAATAGTTAGCTAACTTACAATGCGCAGGCCAACGCAGAGTGACTTATTGTTCCTGTACATACATTCCTCCGCTGACCGAGGCTAATGTATCCTATACCGTAAGAGGGTGGTATCCCACGCCCCGATCGTCGGATCTGGTGCGTAATCCCGGTAATTACCAATACGAATAATCTCGCTTGCACCGCGCCCATTCCCTTCTTGGGGATAAAGGGGGACGGGGGACACAAAATTGTAAAGGGGAAGACGGAGCGTGAGTTGGCTTGTTGTGTTGGAAGTCTTGCTATTAATAAAGCTTGCTGTTCTCTAACACCCGTGATTAATTTTGGCTCCCGTTTACCTCCATATCCCGTCAATCTCGGATTCAGGGTCGACGGGTGGCAACCAGAATTTAGAGTGCCGAGCGGGTTCAGCGCCATGGTTCCATCGCCTGTCTATCCTTCTTGTTTACTTCTCCTTTACTACTTCGGGTAGCTGTCACCTCTCGCCATCCCTCGTCGTCGTCGTCGTCGTTGTTTGTCGTGTTCCTCTTCTTCCGCTTTTTCGTTCTTCTTCTTCTTATATATTCTTATCTCCTCTTGTTATCTGGCTTGGTTTGGTTTTTGGTATTTTTATAAATATTCTTATCTTCGGGCACGTTGTCCGAAGCCCCCCCCCCCCCCAATTCTCTGCCCAACCCCCGTCCACCGCTTGTCGCCTCAATCCTGTCAACGTGTTCGCCTAGGGAGAAAAGAAATAAACCAGGGGAAAAGAGCTAGAGGGAGGAGAAAAACAAAAGAGAAAAAAAGAACCAATAAATAACCTGCCCACTCAGCCCTCAACTGCCAGTCCTCCCCTTTGCAACGTTGGCGTTTTTCTCAGGTTGAACAGGAACACCCGCCAAACACCAACACCACCCGGCCTGCGTCTGTATTTTATTCCCCCCTCCCATCCGCATTGTTTGATTTCCATGCTTCAAGATTCCGGGGTATATTCAGAGCAGCAAGCGGGTGCTTGCTGCCACAGACGACACGGAAAGTACGTGACGTGATATATATTTTTTTTTTGTCCTTGGTTTCCTTGAAATAAAATAGAAAAAGAAACGAAACATGTCCAATCCGCTTCCTCTGCACACAGACACTCCCCCCTCTAGTCTACATTTTTACAATGGGATGAAGTTAACTTACACCTTCTCTCCCGCATCGAAACTGGGCTAATCTCTACCTGTCATCTCCTTCGTTCTCCAGGCTTAGATCTGTCCGCGGATTCGACCAACCCTGTCTTCCGTTTAACAGCTGTTAACGGACAGAGCCAGACAACCCCAGTCGGAGACCTTCCTATCGCGACAATACCATCTCTGAGGCGCTCAGTGACTCCAGGGGCTTCAGGCCTCCAGGCTGCTCCCTCGCTCGGATTGCCGCCGTCCCGAATCCCCTCCCCGGCTCCTAGCAACTACGGTGCCGCCAGCAGTTTGGTCTCTCTTCCATCGTTACCCAAGTACCACGCTGAATCTGATTCCCTCTCCTCATCTCCGGAACACAGGAAAACTGATAGCAGCGTTTACTACACTACGGCCTGGGGCTCACCGTATGCGACTCCGAGTCCCAAGCGACATCCCTCGTCTTTTCTGAGAAATCGTCGACGGGAAGAAGGAGGTTATAGCAATAACACTAACAGCGAGGAAGATTCTCCTTCGTCCACGAAAAGTACCCATTCTAATTCAAGAAAGATAAGTGGTAGCAATCACAAAGGTTCCGTAAAACCGTCCTCCTCGCGCGTCTCAAGGCGCTTCTACGGGTCCATCGGCCGAGGCGCGGCAAGGGGCCGACAGGGGAATCCTATCAAGGATTTTACGGAAGAGTGGATCAATCAGTATCTGTCCGGACAGCCGCGAACAGAGCGCACAAACTGGTTAAGTGACGACTCAGCGGATAGTGGCACGGGTTCATTTCTGACTGCCAGAAATCACCTGAGCGAGGACCAGTCTGAAGGTTGGCTTGGTCTTGAGGACGATTCTCAGGACGAAGACCTCCTCAAAACCCCCACGTCGCGCAGCTTTGGTAGAAACAAGTCCAAGGACTTGCTTCTTCCTCGGGACAACGGCCGTCCGCCTCGATCTCGCGTCCTGCCGAAACACATCCCTAAGAAAAGCACGGATACTTTGAAACAGTCCGACTTTTGGGATATCGGACACGAATTGGCCCCTACTCCTACCTCAGCAGCAGCAATGTCGGACAAAGAGGCTTCGTCCAAAGCTTCCCTAAGCCCTCATCCAAACGGCTCCTCGTCAGCTGGTGACTTAAGCCTTCCGATTTCGCCCATTGATAAGCCACTTCCCCCACCACCACCGAATGAAGCCAATGGCGGTGTCAATCATCCCCCTCTCCCTGCCAGTCCACTTGTTGTCCCCAAACAGACCAGGACGTCAACCCCTGGTTTTCAACGACCTAGGAAGAAAGTGCAATGGGGAAAGAAACAGTGCATCATTGCATTACCCCTTGAGGACCGTCGTGGTTCCAGCCAGGGCGGCTTCCATCTGCTTACACCCACTGATGTGGCGAGCCGGCTAAAGAAATGGGAAGAACAGGGATATGACGACGGATCCCATGTCAAGGGGTTAGATGCCATCTCACAGAGCCGGCCAGCATTCCCAGACCCCCACGAATCTCAGAGGGAATGGCGGGAGAACAAATATACCATCAGTTTCCCCGATCAATTCGAGTGGGAGGCGTATGTCAATTTCCTCAAAGAAGAAAAGTTACGTGCATTGGGTGTATTCCTCGACTCGGACCCACCTGCTTCAGCCACCGGTATTTCCCCAGGGGGATCTTTACCTTTGAGCCAGGCTTCGTCTCAATTCCCTAATACTAACCTTCCATTCCCTCCACCAATCCCAACATCATCCGCAGCTAGTAACACATTTGGCCTGCCCACGAACGCCTTCTCCGCCCCACTCAGTCAAGCTACACTAGCAGCCTCAACACCTGGCGCATTTGCGTCACCTGCTACATCACCATTTGGCTTACCGAGCAGCTCCTCCTTCCCTGCTCAGCCTGGTCTCATTGGCACAGATCATTCCTTCAATACCCAAGGGTTCCCCTTCATTCCCTTCCAGCCCACACCCCCCGCGCAAAGTGCTTTGGCGTCACCGAATTTCTTCGTCGGGCACCAGGGGGCTGTTTCTCCTGCGGGTTCTGTGGCGAATAATTTGGCGAATATAAATAATATAAATTTCTATGCTGCCGCCTATTTCGCCCTGTGGCGTCTGATGATGCGAAGCAGATACATTTGCAGTTCCCTAACACGGCGGGTTTGCTGTCACAGTTGCAGGGCCCGCTTCCCATTTTATCGCAGCAGCAGCAACACCATCAACAGCCACAACAACAGGAGAAGCGACAGCGACCGCACGAAGAAGATCCCAGTCAACTCGTTGCCCCGCGTTCGAATACCGAAACACCGGCGGATTCCGATGCCACAAACTCCCCATCGTCGGGTCCAGAAATTGCCCATCCAACCCCTCGTGGACATCGCCATAACGTGAGCGAAACGCTACAGAAGGGTGTGGAGCAGGCGGAGTACCATCTTGAAGATGTCATTAGGCGTCAATTGGAGGAAGAAGATAAGAATGAACACGATTGCGAGCCTACTGATGATTTAATGAAGTCGCGGTGGGCTGTGGCTGATGAACCCGTGTTAAATCTTTCCAATGTGCCAGCAAAGGTGTTGCCGCAGCAGTTGCTCTTTGGTGGGCAAAACGATGATGGCGAAGGTGAAGGAGATCTCCCACTCGATGCCTCCGACATCAATACAAACCCTAGCCTCTCAGGCTCCTTCCATGGCCAGTTTGGCGATCAAACAAGTACAACCTCTTTCAAACCACGACACAGGTCGTGCACGTCTGCGTCGACCCTCAACGTCGAGGCCAGGGAAATTCGACCCATCCGGCTCCTTCGAGTCCAACACCTTTTTCTTTTACAGGATCTAGCTTTCCAGCCACCGCAACAACATTTTACCACATTATCCCATCTTTCAATACAAACAATAGCTTTCCAGCCCTCGCATTCTATCTTTCAGCCCGCGCGTGTCACAACACAGCGCTACCTCTTCCAGTGCCTTCAACGTGACTGCGCCATCATTTGCGCCGCTGGGGGGCAGTAATAAGAACACATCTCCCTCCATCTCCTCAAATACCAACTTCAATTTCTCCACTGCGTCTTTTAACATAGACGCACCTGTCTTTAACCCGGGCCGCAGCTTCGCCTCAGGTTCTACGGCAGATGTCCCCAGCAAGACGGCCGTGTCCGGTTCCGACGGTACCCACGCAACAGCAGGCTTCACAGGCGGCAAGATATTTGGTGATTTCGACATGTCATCTGTAATCATCAAGCCAGCCAAGCTGTCGAAGGCGATTCCAATAATTCGACCGGATGACATTAGTATGAATAATACCAATGTAAATAATAAGAAGAAGAAACCTGCAGAAGCTGCGGGGACAGTTGGTCCTCTTGGCCGGGAGAAGCGTGCTAGAAGGGAAGGGAGCGACGGGGACAAGGAGGTTGAGTTTGAGCTTCCGAGTCATAGTCCAGTTGGTGGGAATGGAGATGATATGGTGCCGCTTAATGATATTGTTGTGCCTGCGGGTGGAAAAGAAAATGCGAATGCTGTGTCCGGGGTAGTTACGGGAGAGCCAGAGGTAGATCAGAATATCGGCACTGATAGCAAAGACATCTATCCTGTCGCTCCTACCACTGCAGATACCATGACAACTGTTGAGAGTGTCACTCCCGTTTCAAAGGATACTCCTGTTAGCCAAACTGCAGAATGGCGTCCTTTTGAGTTCAAAAACAGATTTGAGGCTGCCGCTTTCAATGATGCGTTCCCTTCTGGTCCTGGGGTTCATGGCCTCCAAATGCTATCGGACTCCAAGGGACAGAACCGGGTTGAGCCTGCGAATGAGGATCCTGCTGCAGTTACAGTGGAACGTGCTGAAATCTCCGTTGACGAGCAAATCTCCAAGAGCGTGGGTAGTGAAGTTGTTGATAGCTCATCTAAGGTGTTGCCCTCGGTACTTAAGCCTACTGCGGAGGCCTTTGAGTTCAAACCTGCAGCTCCGGTCGTTACTCCAGTTCCAGCGCTTGTTAAGCAGATGCAGCCATCATCTGGTCCAAAAAATAACGTTGGTCTCGAAGGTTCCCGTTATGCTGTATCCACGCCGCCTTCATCTCCACCACCAGCCAAGTACCTCGCAAGTACCATTCCTCAACACTCTCCTATGGTTGATAATCTCAGAGCTCTGGAAGAGGAGGAGGAAGAGACGTTGCCACTGAGTGAAGTGATGACTGAGGATGCGGAGCACGATTCCCTCAATGAGGATGAGATAGATGCCGTCATGAAGCAGCTGAATGACGATAACGCAGATCTTGGTATTGAGAGATTCAACACCCCACAGCCTCCAAACCAGGATATCTTTGCAGGCCAGTCTACCCAACCGCAGCTGGTTCCCAGCTATACTGTTCGCAGTAACGCTCCCAGCCCAAGTATAAAAGGCAGCGATCGCCCCTTCAGAAATTTGCCCAGGATACACTCAGATCTTGATGGGAAATCCCAGCACCTACTATCGCCAAAGCGAAGCGCTCTTAGTGGCGGTAGTCAATCCCCTGTACGACATCTCAATAACCCCGAGATCGAACACGTGAGTGATTGGGACGATGCTGTTTCCGTTGGCGAGGACGCGAAGCTGCGACAGAGAAGCATCTTCTTCGATCGACATGTGAACGAGATTGTCGGCAGGATCCTTGAGAACCGTCTTGATCCTCTCGAGCAGACGTTAGGCATCATCCAGCAATCGCTTGACGTTCTTGCTTCACGATCAGTTAGCCAACGCAGGAGTATCTCGGCTGAAGTTGTTGAACATAGTGACGCAGATGATGAGGATGAAGGGGAGGACGACACTTTCATGAAATATAGGTCAAGATCTCCGCTGAATAGGAGGGATAGACGTGTGGATAAAATCAAGCAAGCTGTCGCTGAAGCGCTGGCAAGCCAGGTTCCGCGTATCGAAACTATCCCTCCACCGCCACCGCCTCCGGTCCCTGCTCTGGCTCCCTTGGTTGATCTTTCGGAAATCCAAACCGCGCTCGCGGAGATAAAGACTCTTGCTATGTCTAAACCGACTGAGCCCGCTCCAGAACCGCTAACCGATATTAGGCAAGTCATTATCGATGCCATTTCCGAACATCCCCGACTTAATGCGCCTGTTGAATCCGTTTCTCAAATTGATAACATGGAGGCGCTCAAGTTCCAAGTTGAAGGAATGCAGGCAATGTTACGAGTAGCGGAGGAGCGGGCTGAGAAGGAGTATCAAACGCGCAAAGATGCTCAGGATTCCCTTGCTCAATGTCAGCGACTTCTTAGAATTGCAGAGGAAGATGCAGCCCAGCATCGTGAATCAGCTCTAAAGGCGGAAGAAACCCTCAAAGACCTGAGAGAACGGAGACTTCCCGAAACGGAGCGGATTGAGAGGCAAGCTAAACTTCTCCAGGAACAGCAAGAGAGTTTGCAACTCACTCTCTCGGAGCTGTCTATGAAAAACATTACTCTTGAAGAAACTCTGGATGAGTACAGGGTTTCGGCAGACCACTGGAAGTCGCAGGTTGAGCATGTTAAAAGTGAGAATAAGGATCTGAAACTTACGATTAACCATATGAAGAGGCAGATCGAGGACAGCATGGCTGCGCGACAGGGACTTCGTAAGAAGTTTGAGCGGCTTCAAGAGGATATGTCTAGCGCGTCTGGCAACTTTGCATTCTACGAAGCCAGCTGGCGAAAGAAGGAAGAAGACTTGATTGCCAAAAACACAGCGCTTCGGGCAAGTTATGAGCGTGAAGTGAAGCTGCGAGAAAAACTAGAAATGGAAATTGGCGACCTTCAGCAGCAGGAGAAGGAGGCAACCAAACTGCGGTTTATCTTCGGACAGTCGCAGCAGGAAAATGCACGGCTCGAGGAGTTGTTGATGACTCTGAGACAAGAAAATCACGACTTGCAAAACAAAGCTGCTCGCTTCGAACGCGAATTTAACGAGGCGCGGGAGAGTAGCCATGCTGAAATCAAGAGGACTAGAAAGTCTATGGAGGCCGACCTTGATGCGGCTAACAACCAGGTGAACTACGTTCGTGCAGAGCTAGAGTCTCAAATCAGCAGCCTCCAAAACCAATTGGATGGCGTCAGATTGGACGCCGATACAGCTAAGGCCAGACACGAGCTGCAACTGGAGGAAGCTACCGATGCGAAGAGGCTTGCTCTCACGGAATCTGCTGAATCGAAGGAGAATGCACTTCAGGAACAGCGTCTCCTCCACGAACGCGGCCTGAACGATCTTCGCGAACGCCATGCGCGAGCATTACATAATGCCTCGGAGGATCGACAGCGTGGCGAGTCTCACTTGATGGAGCTACTAGCGCTCCGGGATGAGAAGATTGAGCATCTGGAAGATAAACTCGTCCTAGTTGAAGAGAAGCTTGAGATTGCAAAGTCGGCAGCACGCGCGGCGGCGCAAGCGGCACAAAATGCCAAGACTACCTCCACCCTGCCTCCTAGCCAGCCAACGTCGCCGTCCATGACGTTCCGCAGAGGCTCCGAGATCCCCGAGAAGATCTCACCGCAGGCTCTCCGGGAATCCATCATGGTTTTGCAGGATCAATTGCAGCAGCGCGAAGGCCGTATCGAGGAATTAGAACAGGAACTCGCAGCCATTGATAAATATGCGCCTGCGAAAGTAAAAGAGCGCGAGACGGAAATCAACTGGCTCCGCGAACTCCTCGGTGTCCGCCTGGATGATCTGCAGGATATCATCAACACTCTCTCCCAGCCAAGTTTCAACCAGCAAGCTGTCCGCGACGCAGCCATCCGTCTCAAAGCGAACATGCAGATGGAGCAGCAAGAAAAGGAACGCGCCATGTCCGGCGGCAATGGTAACGGCAGCCAGCAATTTCCGTCGCTATCTACCCTCTCAACCTTGCGCTCCCCACGCTCCTTGCTTTAGCGCGCAGCGGCCTGGGGCAACTGGCGCAAAGCGCGAGAAGAACTCCGTCATCTCCAACCCTTCGCCCGCGAACACAAAGATGGCCAAACCCGCCTCTACAAATGCTAATGACCACCGCACCCGTTCCAAGGGCTCCAACAATAGCCCACCCAGCTTCCTCTCCGGCCTCCTAACTCCCCCAAGCTCAAATGTCCGCCAATCGTCAGCAACGTACAGCGCCCCGCCAGGTCCAATGCCAATGGGCACTGGTAGCCGGCGTACCTATTCAGAAAGCCGGCCGCTAAGGCATTACAATAACATTAACAACAGTGGCGGCCGCAACGGCCCACGCAGGCCGTCCGCGCGCAGGGGAGAGAAACTGCCGCAGGAGCTAGAGCTGGAGCTGGAATTGGAGCTGGAGCCGCCGACGACGCCGCCGCTCCTGCGTCAATCGAGCTATGACCAGGATGCGCAGGCGAGAAACTATCATGGTTATGGTTCGTATGGCGATGATGAAGATAGTATGATTGGCGGGGTTATTTCGTCTCAGGATGAGGGGAGGGTGGGTGGTGGGGATGCGCCGTTTGGGCCGTCTATATGATTGATTGGTTTGTCGATTGAGAGAACGAGAAACGGGGAAAAGGAAAGTTGTAATATGGTGAATGGAGATTGTTTGGATGAAATTTTCATTTATCTCCTGTTTCACCCCTTATTTTTTTTTTTTTTTTTTTTTTTTCTCCATTTCATTTATTTTTAGATAATCTTCTCCCTATTCTATTTTCTTTTCTGAATTACATCATTCAGAAAGATTGTAATTTGTTGGATTTTCATATTCGCCCTGTTTTCACACATTTTTTACTCCCACTTGCATAGCGATTTCGCTTCTTTTACTACTTCGTTCGCTTTTGCTCCTTCAGAGCGTCGGCTTTTCTTTTCGATTCTCAGCCACGCTTTCTCTATTTCCATTGTACATTAACATATCATTTTCTATTTTCTTGATTTTTCTCTCCTGGTCTCTCATTTTTCATTGAAAATTTACCCTCTCAGTTTCTTACTTCCTGCAGTTGTCTTTTGCCATTTTTGGCAACATCTATCTATCTACCCAGTCGCTCACTATTTTGACAGATCCGTCCATGTTTCATTTGTCATTCGTATTTTTTTTCGCATGTTTTAAATCAACCTGGACAGATCATGTTGAATTTTTTTTTTTCGCATATGATATTTTGTCTATACCACGCCATATACCTCCCATTTTGCGCTGTGCCTGGTTTAATCCCTACTTTTTATACCCTTCTTTCTTTTGGTTATTTACTTTTGATACCATACATTAATTTTGACTATGGAACTTTTCGTCTCTTGATATTTTGTTTCTTTTCCTTCTTTCATTTTCGTTCGTTGATGTATCTCCGCTTGAAATCAAATTGTCATATGCTCCATTTTCTGAATTAACTTTTCTTCTATGATTATATTTTCCCCCTTTAATGAAGTGACATATACAAATGCGTCAGATTCTTAACTGCACTTTTTAATAATTAATAGCGTACAAACAACAAGCAACTCTTTCGCCGCGGCGTCCCCCCGGAAGCCGATTCTCTTGTTAAATTG